AAACTAAGAGCATAATCTCAGGATTTCACCAGATAAGGTAGTTCCTTAAATTATTAATGGTTAAAAAAAGAGAAGCAGTCCTTTTGCAAGGGCCTGGTAAGACCACTTCCACCGCTGTGTTACCTTGAAGGTGGGGATGACAGGCACGGCAGAGAACGTGGGCATGGATCAGGGAAGGTGGCTGTGTCAGAGAGAGCTTGGAGGGCTTGCTGGCACGGTGGCAGAGGGAGGGCTGGCACGCTGGGGTATGACCTGCTCTGATAACTCTCTGCAGGGCAGGGATCGGGAAAAAGATTGGAACTGCAGGGAAAACAGCAACCTGACAGAAACCTTCACAATTTGTGTACAAATCCCAGGCTTCACTCCTGTGTGATATTCCAGAGGCGGGACACAAACACACAAATGCCTGCGAGACTCCAGGCCTCCTTCACACATCCAAACCCGATGGTGAAAGGCTCCATGGGGAACACCTGAAAACTTATACAGGGACTGATTTTCATCCCAGATGAGCTCATTTTCCCTCCCCCATTCCCCCACAGCAGCTGGGGGGTTTGGGAGCTTCCCCGTGCTGCGTGCGTGCAAAGCACTGCAAGGAGCCAGCTGTAAACTCTGACTTCAGCCAAAGTCAGTCAAAGGAAATTAGTTTTACAGGTGGAAAAGTAGGGTCAGCTTAGTTTCTCTGCCCTGCAAAAGATCAGAATACGTCTACATAAGCTGCTATTAACTTCTGGTATTGTTTTCAGAAGCTGAAGAAATAATGATAAATCTCATTGGAGAGCCCTCAGCTGAATAATTTTCCACTTGGAAAGGTAATGCTGTTCAAAATGAAATGATTTCTTAAGTTACATCTTTTTAGAGAAACAGACAAGACTGAATATGTTCTTTTGCCATGCTCTGAAACAAATATTTAATTTTCCATAGTGAATACAGCTTTTCATCATAGTAAAACATCAAAATCCAAAAAGCAACCCCTTTTGATCCTATTGAAGCACAGAATTCTCACTTGAGATTTTCTAGCCTTGTAGATTGACTGGCACTGTTAAAGATCTGTTTTAACTGAATGGATAACCCCAGCACTGCTCATATATGCAGACACTTTTCCCCCATTTCAAAAGGGGTTTTTTGGCCTTTGACCCAAGTAATTGACAAGACTTTACAAATGCAGATAATAAATTAATACCTCTGACATTAGCAATAGATTTCTTCCCACTCGCCCCTTTTCTAGACCACTAATTTATATACCGCACTTACTGCTCAATCAGAAGAATTGGCAGTCACAGCTAGTTGTGGCTTGAGAAGTGGGCATTTCTGAGATCCCTGACCTCCTAATCTCAGCTCTTAAAAGGCTGAAACACCATCCCATCCCTAACCTCGATGACGGGTGAAGATGCCTGGGCAGCCACGTAGGAGAGGAAGGAAGTAAGGCGATAGCACGGGCTAAATATCGCATCTCTCCCCAGCAGGAAAGCAGCGTCGCGGGCTGATGTAAGCCGCCAGAGATCAGCCGGAGGCGGCTCGCAGGGCGGCAGAGGGAGGCAGAGGCGCACGGGAGAGTTTCCCCCGCCGCGGCAGATGGAGCGCTGCGGTACCGAGCGCTCCGCACCGCCGGCTGCTCCCGGATACCTCCGGAACGCTCCAGAGCCCTGTTGGCAATGCTGCCTTAG